TCCTTTTTTACCATTAACTAACCTCGCACTCATCGCCACTAATTTGAACCAACTGAAAAACTTTTAGTCCTTTAAAGGAATATTACGGGTTCAGAGCTACGCTGAACTACACAGCCCCTAAGGGGACATGGTGATGAAAAAAAAATGACAGGGAAAGAAAAATTATATTTCAGTGCTTTTGCGTTCTCACAAAAGTATTGCATTCCCCTGAGAAACTTTGCATTCACTCCCAAAAGTGTTCATTCCCCAAAGAAGCTTTGTGCTCACTCACCATGCTTTTGCATTCTCTCGCAAGTATTGCATTTCCTCAAAAAACTTTGCGTTCACTCAATATATAGAAATATAGTCCTCCTTATTTTCATTATTTTCATCAACACGACATTTTGGAAACAGATGCAAAGTTTCTTGGATGAAAGCAAAAGTAAAGACAAAAAAGACAAAGTTTCTCTGGGAAACGGCAAAGTTTTGTGAGCGAACACAAAGTTTCTCTGGGAAATGGCAAATTTTTGCGAACAAATGTAGTTTCTTGGGGAAATGGCAACGTTTTGCGAGCGACCGCAAAGTTTCTTGGGCAACGCAAAAGTTTTGCAAGCGAGCGCAATGTTTCATGGGAGAATGCGAAAGTTTTGCAAGTGAGCACAGTTTCTCGGGGAAATGGCAAAGTTTTGCAAACAAATAAAAAGTTTCTAGGGGAAACGGCAAAGTTTTGCGAGCGAACACAAAGTTTCTTGGGAAAATGGCAAAGTTTTGCAAGCGAACGCAAAATTTCTTGGGGGGACGCAAAAGTTTTGCGAGTGAACACAAAGTTTATTTTTGAAAATGGCAAAGTTTTGCGAGCGAACGCAAACTTTTTGGGGGTAACGCAAAAGTTTTCAAGCAAATGCAAAGTTTCTCACAGAACACAAATGTTTTGCGAGTTACCTCAAAGTTTCTCAGGGGAACGCAAAGGTTTTGTGAGAGAACACAAAAGCATAACAATGAAACCCTGTAAACAAAGCAGCTGCTCTACTTTGTTTCTGAATCGTGTTTAAATGATTGAAACAGCCATTCAGATTTGTGTATTTGTTATGATGTTGATCACAGCACCAAATACTTAAATATTTAGACTTAATAGGCTATTTATTTTCAAACTTTTTTTACATTTTAATCTGGACTACAACATGCCCTAGATATTGTTTGAAAGTGTTTTGATTCTTTATTGTTCGGTCACACTTTACATTAGGGCTTCATTAGTTAACATTAGTTAATTCATTAGTTAACATAAACTGCCAATGAAAAATTCTTCTGAACATTAATTAATCTTAGGTATTCCAATATTTAATAACACGTTGTTAAAATCGAAAGTTGCAACTGTGTTATTTAATGAGCTAACATGAACTAAATTAATAACTTAATAACTAATAATTAATCACTTCTGTAGCAAATGTAGCTATTGCTCATTGTGAATGTTAATGCATTAACCAAGGTTAACTAATGAGGTCTTATTGTAAAGGGATACCTATTGGTCTTTATAGTTCTTTTGCACTTTAATCTGTGTAAAACTTTTAGCTTTATAAATTTTTCTGTATTGCTTTATTGCATTTAAATGTTCAGTTATTTTTGTTATAAGAAAAAAGTTATTAAACCTGTTATAATGTATTATGACAGCACTTTTTTAAAACTAAATTTCAATACCGTGATAATACCGTATACTGTGATAAAAGCATTAGCAATTAATCGCAACATGAAAATTTGATACCGGCATATCCCTAGAGCGAGCACAAAGTTTCTCTGGGAAACGGCAAAGTTTTGTGAGCGAACACAAAGTTTCTCTGGGAAATGGCAAATTTTTGCGAACAAATGTAGTTTCTTGGGGAAATGGCAACGTTTTGCGAGCGACCGCAAAGTTTCTTGGGCAACGCAAAAGTTTTGCAAGCGAGCGCAATGTTTCATGGGAGAATGCGAAAGTTTTGCAAGTGAGCACAGTTTCTCGGGGAAATGGCAAAGTTTTGCAAACAAATAAAAAGTTTCTAGGGGAAACGGCAAAGTTTTGCGAGCGAACACAAAGTTTCTTGGGAAAATGGCAAAGTTTTGCAAGCGAACGCAAAATTTCTTGGGGGGACGCAAAAGTTTTGCGAGTGAACACAAAGTTTATTTTTGAAAATGGCAAAGTTTTGCGAGCGAACGCAAACTTTTTGGGGGTAACGCAAAAGTTTTCAAGCAAATGCAAAGTTTCTCACAGAACACAAATGTTTTGCGAGTTACCTCAAAGTTTCTCAGGGGAACGCAAAGGTTTTGTGAGAGAACACAAAAGCATAACAATGCAAGTATATTTTTTCCACATCACCATGCCTCTTTAGGGGTTCTGTATTCAACTGATAGCATTTGTGGCATAATGTTGATTGCCACAAGAAATATTTCGACTCGTCCCTTGTTTTCATTAAAACAAAAAAAAATGCACCCACATTACTTCATCTGTTAAAACTAGTTTATTATTTGAGCTCTAAAGCTCTTTCAATCATTTTTACCTGTGTTTTATGGGTTTAACAAATTGTCACATTGTTTACATCTCTATACATTGAGTATCTTAATTACAATTTGGCCCCATTTACTTCCAATATAAGTGCCTCACTGTAGCCCAGATTTTTGAAAACAAGGGACAACTTGAAATTATTTTTTAGTGGTGATCAATACTATACTATGCTATCAAATGAACTTGTACTGAACCCGGAATATTCCTTTAAGCTCGCCCTCGAAAGTCTGATTGGACTTGTTTTTACATGCACAAACTTACACAGAAGATGAGTAACACTTACTTTTATTTTGAGAAAGGTCATGCCTAGTGTGCATGTCTGTTGACATCAAGACATCAGTACACTACATACTCATGTGACCTTGCGCTGCACTGGGAGAGAGTCACCGTTCGGCCCCATGTAGTGTATCCTGTGCCACCCGCTGGGCCTCACAGTCTCCCCTGCTGTCTTGACCCCCATCCACTCACCCACCCACCCAAACAAACCACCCCAACCCTCCTATCCACTCTCTCTCCTTTGCGCCAGCCTGTATCTCCATGACCTTGCGTTATTAAATTGCACTTATCAATCATTCTTGCCAGGGATGCCATCGCCTACCACATTAAAGAAGTCAGAGAAGTCTGGTTTCAGCAGCCTTGTGCCTTCGCAGACCACTTCCCCTCGAACGGCATTCACACACCATCATCGACCTGTCATTACAGGACCCAGAGGTGAGGTCCCAACACCCCACCCTCCTCCAACTGCACCACTCTTCTTCCCCAAGCTCCTTATCCCAGCCAGCAGTTCTCCCATAATCCTTCAAATCCCAGTTTCCGTCACACCCCACACTGTCACCTTGTAACACTAGACCGGATGAGCAGGAACCTGAAGTCTGAACGGACTCTGTATGAAGGGGCGTTCACACTGACAGCGATTTGTAAAAAAAGCAAAGCATCCAGACGTTTTTACAAGTTGGAGATGCAACCAATTTGAGTAGAGTTTAGCTTTATGCAAATGAGAAGGAACACAATGTGGATATGGACTGGGATTTTTAAAATTCACAAGCTCTTGATTCGATTTGATTCTCATTAGATTCTGATTCAGTTTAAATTCAGTTCTGATTCAGTTAGATTCGTATTCAATTCCGATTCATTTAGGTATATTTCAATTACAATGTCTCTGAGCTAATGCTGTAAATTATACAGCGATCCTAGGAACAGTACAAAATGATTCATTTTAAAAATGAGCAACAAAGCCCAAAATTGCAGTTTAATTAATTTAATTTGTTTATTTATTTGAATTTTATAATCAGCACAACCAAAAACTACTCTGTGAAGTTTTTATTTATTTAAAATATAAATATACTGTATACACACATATATATATATATATATATATATATATAATTATACTTGTCACAATAAGCAATGTAATTTAAATTGTACTTCAATTGGGTGACAAAGTTTTTTTGATTTATTATATCTATTTATTGATTTGTTTTTGTTTGTTTATTTATTTATTTATTTGCTTACTGACTTAAATTATTTTATATAATATTCCATCATGGAAAGTAATGATAACTTATATAATTTATTAAAGTAACTTAAGTAACTTTTACTAAAGTAACTAAAGTTAAGTAACTAAAAGTAACTAATGTTAATTCAGTAAGCGATGTTTGCAGGTTTTGATTCACTTACAGTAATAGTATTTTTATGATTATTTGTTTGTGAATTGGACTACACTGGTTGTGCTGTATGTTTTTGATTTACTAAAAAACGCTAGTTAAAAATAGTCTTGTTTTTGTGTGTATTTTGATTTGTTTTGTTTAAGTGTTTTCTCAGTATTTTTGCTCTCAGTGTGAACTGGGCTTGAGGCAGTGCAGGTAAAAGCGAGGGAGAGATATATTTGTAGCTTTTTACAGTCGGACACTTGTTGACATACGCTAAGGACGTGAGAGCGGTCACTTTACGAGTGCAATCCACAGTGTGTATCGCCTCGTCCGGCTGCTTGATTTACATGCATTTAATGTAAACACTTAACCGGATCTCTGAGTGTGATTTACACATGGCTTGGTTTTCCCAGCGAACGAGGCTTTATCAGACAGAGGCCTGGATCAGGTTATCACGACCGTATTGTCACTGGCTGTGAATGGTTTTGTCATAGATAAGGACGGTTTTTAATCAAACCCAAAGGCGCGCAGTGAGCGGCTACATATTCTTGTCTTCACGTGGTCATGAATTATTGTGAGGAAAATAAACTCCTGAATTTACGGCCTGTTGGCTTGTTTGTGGTTTTCCATTGCATATTCAAAGCACATTTTGTCTAGTGTTCGACAACCTTTGTGCAAAAGTAAGGTTTTGTGTGGACATTTACCTGTTTTTGCTTTTTCTCTGTTATTAATATTATTCATTTGCTGGATGTAAAGCCAAATGGCTCACAGAATTGTTCCGAAGGGCCTGTTTCCAGCATCAGTTACTTTGAATATGTTGAAGTAGAAACCACAACTTAATTTGTGAGGCTATTAGTATTAAATCATGCTTGGAAGTGGTATCGCTGTCATGTGAATATTTTATGCCCACGTGGACGCGAGGCGCAAAATAAATTTAATATGCATACACGGCGAGGCTTGTCACCTGGTTTTAGCTTTTAAGAGTACTTCTTAAAAGCTAAAACCATGAATCTATAATTGATTTAAACGGCCTCCCTCTTTTTCGAGACGTTAGTCAAACTCGTTTAGGTGGGGTGGCCGGAAAACTTATTTTTCTAAAACCATTAAAGATAATTTAAAACCGCCTAAATCTGTCCTCCCTTTCAATTGACCGTGCCACTTCATAACACTGGCTCTTCCCTCCTTATTCAAACTGGGTAAAGTGGAGACCTGTTGCATCAAAAAAAGCCTTTATTATCACCTTAGTTATTATTTTGATAATCCACCATTCAATGAAAGTTGGCAGCAATGGGCCAGTGGGGAAAAAATGTTGCGGAGAGCAAAAAAAAAAATAAAAAATCAGTGAACCAACGCGATTTGCAAAGTGGAACTAATCCGGAGCCTTTTCTATTAGGGGGGGCACACCATTAAAGATAATTTAAAACCGCCTAAATCTGTCCTCCCTTTCAATTGACCGTGCCACTTCATAACACTGGCTCTTCCCTCCTTATTCAAACTGGGTAAAGTGGAGACCTGTTGCATCAAAAAAAGCCTTTATTATCACCTTAGTTATTATTTTGATAATCCACCATTCAATGAAAGTTGGCAGCAATGGGCCAGTGGGGAAAAAATGTTGCGGAGAGCAAAAAAAAAAATAAAAAATCAGTGAACCAACGCGATTTGCAAAGTGGAACTAATCCGGAGCCTTTTCTATTACGCGCGGGTGGCGGCACAATGGCAACAGAGGAGCCGCGCTCAACCAGCTGCTGGAGTCTGCCTCCTTTTCAGCGCATCATTATCATTTCCATATTTGCTTTGGGAGGTATGTGTCCACTGGACCCCCCTCAGACTAACTTTTAGGGCCACCCACTACCTCTGCAGCCGGCCTATGCCTCTTTTGCCATCAGTCACACCATTAAGTAATAGAAATATAGAGGTCAAACAGGTACTTCTATCTATCTATTCATTTATTCATGCCTGATGTAACTGTCATATATTTTCATTTCCATTAAAGTAATTATGTATATTAATATACTTATGTTTAAAGTAGTATGCTATTTTTTTAAATATTAGTCGTTAATAATTGAATAAATAGGTATAAGTATTTATTATTAATGATTAGTAATAAAACAATACATAATAATAATACATGATAAAACAATAAATAATAAAACAAACGGTATAATTTATAATTAAATAAAACAAATACTACAGACTACACAAATTTACAGAACACATTAGGAAATATATAATTTTTAAAAACAAATTTAAATTTAATAAAGCAGTTGGCTTTATTTATTAATTATTATTAATTTTGTTTTGTTTTATAATTTTTTTGGCCTCAAGTAACTATATCAATGTAACTGTATAACTATAATATTGCTTCATGGTCAACTGTAATAAATTTAATTTACACTGAAATAAAATAATTAGCACATTTAAATATGTGAATATAAATACTTTTGTAAATATTTAAATACATTTATACATATAAATTACTGTATTAAATAAATGTATTAAAATGTGTATTATTAATAATGAACAAAATAAAATAAATAACTATAAGTAATAATACTATAAAATAAAAAAATTAAGAATAAAACATAATATATAATAAAATAATTGAAACAAGTACAAACTATAATAATTTAACATTTGAAATTTTTGTTTGTATTGAATCCTGACATGCATGAGTAACAGATTTGTCCTGAACAATGGCTCAAGTCTAGTCAGTTATTCACATAGTCAGTCTGCTATTTTTTTCTGCTGTTACTCTTAGTCGGAGGCTTCTATATATATTTACTTTACACCTATGGTGATGTTTCATCTAAGTTTAATGGTACAGAGCTTAAACATTTAGCCACAACAAGGCTGAGTTTTGTGCCCCAGATTCTCTTTGACCGTTAACACCATTTGATGCATCATGTTCTTGAACATGGTGGCGCCACACTTGTGAGAACGGCCCGCTGGTTAATAAAGCACAAAGAGAAGTCATTTCTAAGGATCAGACTCTTCTCCTGGGGCTACCATGATCTCCTGGTGTCTGTAGTGAAGACCAGGCTGCTCTCGAAGCCTCTGTTCTCGCTCTCGCGCTTGTGTTCTGGTATTAGCCTCATCACCACCCCATTTTAATTCATGAAGCCTCTTTTAGCACATCAGTGGGGTTTTCCCCATGCGCTACATGAATATTAAGGCGCAGGAGACAGTGTCTTGCATTTAGCGGAACGGGGAACATTGAAGACGGAAGAGTTGACAGGCCTTGAGAGTGAATTATGTCGTCCAGCAGCTTTGACAACTCGAGACACGGTCAAACTTTGTTTGCTTGCAATTTTCCGTCCAAATAACCACCATTAAATGAATAAGAATATGACAAGGGAGCAAGCCATTTAAGTAATTGGCTATCGTTCCACAACACTTAGATTCTGTCAGTGAGTGAAGAAGAAAAAAAGTGTTTTTTCCCTCCTCACTAATTGACTGGGGCAATTTGCATAATTGAGACGGTAGGTTTCGCTGTAGCTGACGTAAGCTGGTTACCAAACCTGTAACGCTGATCTACGGTTCGTTTGGCTCTAGAGAACCGACTCCGTGATGATTTAAATGCAGAACAGGTAAGCATTTGTCCTCGCGAGGGCGAATGATTGACAGTATTTGAAAAATTGTTTTGTTTGGCAAGGAGAAACGTCACGAAAGCCATCCAGTCTCAACATGTTGCCTCCAGATAGATGCGGCGATGCCAGTTGGATCCACTTCTTAGAATAACGGAGCAGAAACCATATGCTGCTCAAGTGTTTCATTAAGTCAGCTCTTGGATTGCAGCTAGCATCCGTGAATTTCATGGAAAAGGCCGTTTATTGCCATCTCTGGGCCAGTGGGTTTCCAAGTTCTGCACTGGCTACATTTGGTGCGCTATTTTATGAAAATATCATTTAAATTTAGCCAGTATTTTGTCATGTCATGTGAATTATTTTTTGTGCGTTTTACTGATTCTAGTCAACAAAAATAAAATTTCAGTTGATGAAAATTAAAATATGTATGGATGGATGGATGTGTGGATGGATGGATAGATAGATAGATAGATAGATA